AGAGATGCTTTTTGGTTTGTCTATGTAAATCAGTCGATTATAAAAACCGATCTTTTATTGATCAATTTTGTGCCCAATTCTTGCCTAGACTTTTTTTACAAACTCTTTTCAATAATCGAAACAAACTCACCTTGAAACTACAAAGATATTCAAAATATGGTCAAACAAATGATTGATGATACACTACAATTGTTCATTGTCATAGAAAGTTTTATATGTTTCCATTTTCTGGTCATATCGAGCAACTAAATTAAATTTTCTGAAAAGTAAACTTATGTTCTAGTAAATTAGTTTCCCTCTCTCTACTCAGGCACCCACGATCAAATAAACTAGATCTACTGTAGAACAGCGACGGCTTAGCGTGCTATACTGTCCTAAACGTGGGAATGATTTGAAAAATAGACTAAACATCGTTATACACTAGCCATCAGATTATCATTACCAGTCTGCACCAAGAGGAGGTGAAGCATGCAAAGCAGACAGGTACTGGACTGAGGAATAGGATGATGGAGTGTTTAATTTAATCCTACACAATGCATGAGCGAAATCCGATTGTCCAGTATCAGTCGACGCCGACCCTAACAGGCCAGTGTGGGTTCAATAAAACTGGATCAGGTGAATAGATGCTAAAATTAAATTAGAGAAGTACTAATAACTTGCAATTGTGAGAAAAAATCGATAACTTACATCAGAGAATAAGAAAAGATCTTCTTTCTCCATATACGCTATCCTATCACAACCATGGCTTTCAGAATTTTGTTGAGTCTCTCTCGGACAAGCATTCGGTATGGAAATGCCAGCTTCTACAACATGACTAAAAGCAGCATAAGATAGGTACCGGAGTGAATCACAAGTCTCACAAACGGTGATATTTGCAACTCACTAAGAAAAAACAACTTCAACGATTCATTGATAAGATTCTCAGCCCAAGGAACACCGCTTCTTATCCATGAATATCTCCAGTGATCTAACTCATACTTCTATGCTAGGAACTAGGTTCACAGAAAAGTCAGGGTCAGAAATGACCTTTTGTGTATATTTCTGTGTTCAAGCTGGGTATTGTCAGCTTATTGTGCAAGTAGAGACGGGAAAATTTGAATTGATCAAAATTTTTTGATTTCAATTTTCATAAGAATTCAGCAGCGGGCAAATCAGTTTCACATTTATGGTTATGAAATAATATTCTTAAATAATCTAATTTTTGTCGTTTTCGACCGAGAAAAACATGCTAAATATAAAATAAAAAAGAATCGATCCGTTTATTGACTAATCGTTCCACAAAAAGATTGGATCGGTACATGTAAGATTGATCCGAATCAATCTCAGGTCTATTACAGACATTAATCAGAAATATAATCCATCCTATCCTTTAAACTCTAGCTCGTTTCTCAATTACTGATAGAGAAAGTTTGCCAAAGCCAGAATTATGGTAAATGATAAGGTCAACATAGAGGCGATGAACTGTGTATTTATGGTGAAAAGATTCGCAAAAGTGAAGCCAACATCAGTGAACAGCACTCGTCCAATGAAAATTTCATTCTGTAAAAGATATTGATGAAATAAAATTCAATCAGATTTTGTATCAATTACTACAAAACGAAGAAACATGTTCTTACCTCATATTTCATGTCCAGTCTTTTCATTTTGAATGAAAGCTCATAAAGACTATCCAAACATTTTCGAGATAATAAATTGACTGAGACCAAATTAATAGTTAAATAGATCATTAATAGAGTGTCAACTATAGCATGAAATATCCAATAAATGTCCATTGATGATCGACCTCCGAATGCATCGACGATATTCATTATGTTATAAAAAGCATAATGAACGTAAAAAAAAGTAACGAAATAGCGAAAATAATTTTCCACTGATTTAGTGGCCTTAACAACAAAACTGTAATATCGACGGCAACGTATCAATGATTCAAAATCAATTGATTGGCTCTTTACCAACGAATTAACCTTTGAATTTACTAATTTGAATGCCGCTTGTAAATTAATACAAAATTCAATAATCTCTCTGGTGATAAAGAAAAATATAGCTGGATGGATTAAATGAGTTATTGCATGAATAGGCTTCCATCCAAAATAGATACCAGTATTGATAGAATGCCAGACATGAAGAACAAATTTTAGAAACAAGAGAGTCGAACAGGCAATATTTTTGTTCAACTGTTTTCGAGTTATGAATCTTTTCAATCCATCTTTTTGATGAACGCCAATTGCATATAAATTGTCCAAATGAGAAGATTTTTTTTTACTTTTAATCAAAACCAAAACGATAATGAAACGAGAAGCAGCTAAAATTATATTGAGTACGATTCGACACAAAGCAAATACAGCAAACTTCGAGTTTAACTTGAGATTACAGGCATAGATTACATTAATTGTGATAATCAATACCAAGCAAAATAGTTCTGTCCAGAATAAAAATAACCGTTGACAAGGCCCAAAATATGATTTCTTTTTTAGAAGATTCTCTTGAACTGGTTCTTCAACGTTCATCTTTTCATTTAAATCTTAACGAAACGATAACTTGGCTGTATTTCGCTGGCTCATATCAAGTCACTTTGAATAACCTAGTATGTTTTAATTTGCCAAAGGTAAGACAATTCATTATGCTTGCAATAAAAGAATGAAAATTATTGCTTCTGAATAAGTTCACATTATGTTTACAACATGTTTCCATCCACTAATCAATTCACCTTCATAAAAACAAATGCATCAATCATATGGTCTAATACATGATCGATGATAAACTGTTGTTATTACTTTTGTTATCATTACGAATATTTAATAATCAATCTTTTCATTTCTGATCAAATCAATCAAACGAATGCATTTTTTGAACATAAAATTATTCATTTCTAATTTGGTATCACTTTTTTTCAATTACGTTGAATTTAGTTTCATTGAATAAGCTTTGAGTATAAGTATCAATACTAATTGTGTTCGCTCGTAAGTTTTCATTCTCGTAAGTACATCAGAGCACAGAAAATTCAGCAAAAAGTTTCAATTGTCCCATTTAGTTCTAAGACTATAAAAAATAATGTTGGTGAACCATGTTTGTCTATTTGCTGGCTGTTGAGCTTCTTACGCTAAAAATTGACTGATTTGTAAGAAAATATCATGGTATCGTGATATCTGAACCAGTTTAGCCACACGACAAGACCAAATAAGAATATTGAATTTGTTTTATTTTTTTAGATTTAAGATTTTCTCTTTTGACAATATAGTTTTTTATTGTTTTTAATTTTATTTTTTGCAGTCTCACAACTTTTAATGGTTTAATTAAATGTCTTCACAATCAGCCATGAGGTTTGATTTTAGTTTAATCGACATCTATTCGAATCAATGGCTACTAATTTTGGCAAAGGGGGCTAAATTCAACCTGCAATACCTACATACTGTTGAATATTGGAGTTTTCTGATCAAGTGTTGGTAATTTGTGACTTTTTGATCCTGAAGTTTGCGCACTAGATCAGACAACTAGTAGAAAGATTTTCGACTGTCAATTGTGGCAATGATAATGCCATCTTTTTGTGTATACTTAAGTAACATAAAATACAAGTAAGTGCTATCCTAGTTAACTTAATTACTCTTTGCTGAATAAACTTAATTAAATAAGAAAAAACAGGTTAGTCATAAATCAAGAAACAAAAAACGCCAACTGAAATATCTTCAAAAACAATACATATGACTTGGCGATTGAAAATGTAACTAGCAACAATTTTTTTTGAGGAATGCAGATTCAATGACTAATCTAGAGATTAAAAAGTATAAATAAGTTATTAGTTATTACTATTTCTAGTGAGACTGATAATCTTGCAAAACGTTTTATAACGCTCAGAAAATTAATCTTTCGTTTCATTTGAAAATTAATCGCTAGTATTTAGACGAGTTTTTGCACAAAAAAAACAGAACACAACAATATTGTAAAATTCATGTTAATGTTGATGGTGATACAATTGAGTAAACAGTTCTATGACATTTGAAGTGACACTTGGGTAACTTCCCTTGTCAGTTTTTATGCCCCTATAAACCTAAAAAGTCCCAACTCTTAACTCGAGTTATTTTACACCGTCCTAGTTCAACCATGGCTTTCAGGTTGCATAAAAGTTTTCTTTGTAATCCTTTAAGTTTAGCCACAATTTTTACACAAAAATTTGATGTTTTGATTTATACACGTACATATTGCGTATTCAAATGTACAACACTGGCAAGTGTCATTGTTTGTCTTTCTTTATATTTTGTTTTCTTTTTTACTGTCTATTTTAGTCTCTTTTTATCTTCTTTTCCTGAGTTTCAGAGTTGTGTTGTGAAAAATTGTAAATTTTTGCCTCGACATTCAGGACAAAACCTTCCTTTAGCGATTAACAGAAAATTTATAGAACCATTGACAGAGAAGTTTTGAGCGAAAAATACCAAATCGGTATTAATATATTAAAGGGTGTAACGAATAAAATAATACCTTCATCTCAAAAATTTAATCTAGGAAGACGAAGATGACAATAATACAAAGAAAGAGAAAAGAAACGTAGAAAATTATCAAAGGTCAAAACACATTTTTATCAGTGTCATTTTCGTCTTCCTAGATAAAATTTTTTAGATAAAAGTAGTTTTTTATCCGTTACATCCTTTATATAAGAATACGTATTTACGTAAGAATATTATTATTAATATTAACCTTATCGTGATAATTTGATTTAAAAATTTCATGAAAGTGAAATCAAATGATGTAACTTAATGATACACAAAGAGATGGCATTATCATTCACACAATTGACAGTCGAAAATCTTTCTACTAGTTGTCTGATCTAGTGCGCAAACTTCAGGATCAAAAAGTCACAAATTACCAACACTTGATCAGAAAACCCAATATTCAACATGCATCGCATATGCTGGACATAAAAAAACGCTGGATTGAGGAGGATCATGGAAGGTTCACGGATAATTATATGAAATCAGCCGTTATAGGAAAAGAAATGCTTTCTTATATTTTACGCTAAATTCTCTTTATTTTTGATTCTATAAGCGTACAACATTAAATACGCAATGTATTAGTCAATACTTTAGAACAGAGAAACTGTCAAAGGCATAGTAACTGGAATTTTGGACATCATGGCTGGAATTATTCCTTGCTTAGATGGATTTTTACCAGATTTTGACCCATTTCCAGATGATGAGCTTGCTGCAGCTGCGGCGGCTGCTGCTGCATTGCCTTTACCATTTCCTTGTTTACCACCTTTCTTCGCATTTCCATTGCCAGCTGAAGCAGCTGCTGCTGATGATGCTGCAGATCCATTTGAAACTGCCTGGCCACTTTTTTGCCCGTTTCCTCCATTGTTACCAGACCCTGCTGTTGTGCTCGATCCTGAATTGTTCACTTTTTGTCCACTACCATTTGATGATCCTGCTGCTGAACTTGCTCCTGAATTGTTACCAGCATTTCCGTTTTTGTTGCTACCGTTAGAAGCTGAACCTGCTGCTGAACTAGATGCTCCATTGTTACCGCTGTTTCCTGCGTTTTTGCTGCTGCCGTTTGAAGATGCACCTGAGGCTGCTGCTGCTGATGATGCTGCTGCTGAGCTTGATGATCCATTGTTACCATTGTTTCCTCCGTTGTTATCGCTTCCGTTTGAAGATGCACCTGAGGCTGCTGCTGCTGATGATTCTGCTGCTGAGCTTGATGATCCATTGTTACCATTGTTTCCTCCGTTGTTATCGCTTCCGTTTGAAGATGCACCTGAGGCTGCTGCTGCTGATGATGCTGCTGCTGAGCTTGATGATCCATTGTTAACATTGTTTCCTCCGTTGTTATCGCTTCCGTTTGAAGATGCACCTGAGGCTGCTGCTGCTGATGATGCTGCTGCTGAGCTTGATGATCCATTGTTACCATTGTTTCCTCCGTTGTTATCGCTTCCGTTTGAAGATGCACCTGAGGCTGCTGCTGCTGATGATGCTGCTGCTGAGCTTGATGATCCATTGTTACCATTGTTTCCTCCGTTGTTATCGCTTCCGTTTGAAGATGCACCTGAGGCTGCTGCTGCTGATGATGCTGCTGCTGAGCTTGATGATCCATTGTTAACATTGTTTCCTCCGTTGTTATCGCTTCCGTTTGAAGATGCACCTGAGGCTGCTGCTGCTGATGAAT